TCTTGTACTATATATTGGTTATGTGAGAAAACCGAAGAAAATTTTTTTTTAAAGTAAACGCTGGTGTTGAATAAATAAAGTCATTTTTCATCGTTTTTGTTTTTCTTTTGCCATTTTTACTTTCCAAAGGAGTCGTTTTGGTAGCAATAACTTTTAGTTATTTGGATGTTTTCATACTTATTAAGTATAGTTTGTCTCAAGAAATATTAAATCTTTGTTTTTCATTGAAGGTCAAAAGATGTTTTCATTATCAAGTGAATGTTTTATAGCAATTAGATATATTGTGGGCTTATGAAAGCAACGGAAACCCTAATATATGAGTGGCTTTGTCAGGTCAGTGCTGCGAATATCAAATGTAGTAAACATGCAGGACTCCGGCTGTCTATTAACCTGTACAGTGCTCTTTGGTTAACAGGGGGATTGTCGCACCAGAGAAGAGGCAATGATATTTGCTGTTGGACTTTGTGACAATGGATTTATGCACCATGGTAGGAATTTTTATTCTGGAAGCTTACGGATATATTTCACTCTTTTGTTTTTGTTAGGATGCTGGGGCCATCTCAGTGTTCCAGTGAAGTAATTTAGAAATGAACCAGCAAGACTGTCTAGGCCTTGCCATGTGGGTTACCGCATCTGCATTATCTCCCAGTTGCCATGATTAACCTTGTATTTTTTTAGACCCCAACTGATTCCAGAAGAGCAAGGAATTGAGTTTAGAAGTTTGAAAAAAATAAAAGAAGCTCATATGCTTCTTTGAAACTATTTCAGATCAAATTTATGGTTTGTTTGTTTTTAATGCTAGTATATATTAAAATGATTAAATGAGAGTACATATTGTTAAGTATTTCTTGTTCTTTTTATTGTTCTTTTTATAAAAATACTTTCAAACTTATCTCAGAGAACAAAATTATAAATATCTTGGAGAAATCTGATTTTTTGGCAACTAATTAAAGATTGATTTCCTTTCTTGTTTGATAACTTCATTCCCCTTAAATTGATAAAAATAATGAGACTTAGTTTTCCCTCTCTATTCATACCACCTTAGAAATTCCATAAACCCAAATGATCTTTTTTATTGTTATATATGTACATATATATGCTTATAAAGATGTATTTGATCGTACTTGTCAAATATTTGTTAATATATATGCTTATATACATTATTTAATAGCACTTGTCAAATATTTGATACCAATTTGTCAATTACTTTCAGAAGGTTGTTACCTTTTTATAAATAAGGAAGCAAAAGTTAGCAATTTTGAGAGCATCCTTGGATATTGTATATCCTTTGAGAATTCCATTAAATTCCACTATCTCTAGAGCACTGTCAGTTGTGATATAGACTTATCAATCCTTGAAGAGCAAACCATTGAGTGGGAGAAATGGCATCATTATAGGGAATTAAAACTATAATATCAAGGTAGAAACAAGCAGTAATTGGATCTCAACACTTATTTTTAAATGCTTAGTTACAACAAACATTTTTCCTACAAAAGCCTCTGTCAATAGAGCACAATCCAGTCAGTGCATGTGTGGCCTCCCTGATGTCTTCTTCTCTCACTCCTTTTAGACAGACTATTTTGGGGAGGAAAACAGTAGCAAAACACCATGTGTGTTTTGGGAAACTGCTTATGTCATGTAGGCAAGACCTAACTCGATCTCACTTATATTCTCATTTCTATGGTCAGCTGTGACTGTGTTACTTTTTAATTTGTGGTCAATAGTTTCACTTGTTAACTCACATTGCCAGCCAGTCTCTCATCCAAAGATCAATACGTGCATACATCTGGTCAATCATTACTATTTGGAACTCTGTAAAATAATAAAATAGCTATAATTTTTTATTTCTTACTCTATGTCAATTTACATGTATTGCCTCATTGTAGTTTTGTATAATATCATGAAGGTTTAATGAGGAAGTTGAAGTTCAAAGAGTGTAGGTAACTTGTCCGATGTTACACGTAGGTTCAATATCAAACCTGGAATTTAAATGCATGTCTGTCTCAGCATCAAGCCTTAACTTTCTACTGTGCTGTGGGGACACTGCCTCCCCTTTAGCTCCCTGGCTCAATGAATCAACCTGTCCCAACAAAGAACTCTTCAAGGTACCACCGAAAGATGAATGGAAATGGAAAAGATTTCTCTTTCAACACATTTGACTGCTGTCAGGATCTTGCTGAATACTAATTCTTTCTATTGCTATTAAGCCTTTTTAAAAAGCTTATAAAACATAATTCTTGTATCCAGGAATCTTAGGGATTTGGGGGAAAATATTACTGTTCAGACAAAAGAGAAAAAACTGGGCTTTGCATAAATAAGGTTATTTGAGAATAATGCTTTGAAACAGAAATGAGCTAAGAATTAATGGAAACTAAAATCACATTTCACCCAGAAGACATATTTCTGGTTTCAAGTGTTAGAACAAAGTGAGCACAATGGGAATTGCTCACAACATAAAAACAACACTTAATCCATTAAAATTTTCCCAGAATTGTGCAGGATATTAAAATCATACTTAAAATGTTTACTACAAATTCAAAACACTTTAGTTTTCTATGTTTTGGATTGTATACATTTTTTCAATATAATCTTTTATTTAAGTTTAGGCTTTAATCTGGAAAGTTAAAGACGTGGTTAAGTATAAAAAAAAAGTTAACATTGACAAAATATTAAAAATGCAAATCCTTTAGGTAACAGTAATTTAAAAGAAACATTGGCTTGAAATTGTAGAAAGAAATGGAAAAAATATTATGGATATTAGTGAGTGTAACTTGTTCAAGGAGTATAAAATTGAGGTCATGGTACAGTTATTTACTGAATGTCTATCACTTTGGACAAAGAATTTGATTTTGGGATTAATTGAAACAATTTGAATCTCTGTTTCATTAGTCCTTGAAAAAAGTGAATTCAAAGATGAACCTCTCCTTTTCCGTTTCTTTGCGGATGAAGAAATGGAAGGATCCAATATGAAACATCGACTTATGAAACATGATTTAAAAGTTGTGGAAAATGTAATAGCTAAATCATTATTGGTAAGTTTATTAATATGTTACATAAGTTTTCTTCTTGATTAGGTATTAGCAGGAGATTACATAAACATGTTTGATGCATATTATTTAATTCTGTTTGATTTAAAAATTCTTTTTTTACTTGCTTTATTAATAATGTTAATATTTTATTTTATTTTGTTTTTTAAAATTTCGTTTTTTTGCTTAAAGTATTACAAAAAGTATTACATATGTCTCCCTTTTTTTTCAGATTAAATCCAATGAAGGCAGCTATGGTTTTGGGTTAGAAGACAAAAATAAAGTTCCAATAATTAAGTTGGTAGAAAAGGGGTCCAATGCCGAGGTAATGTAAATTAGCATTATTATTTTAAGTTGTTGCGCATGACATATATAATAAATATAAAATTTCTAAACTAATTGAAATCAGTCTTTTACTATCCTATTGAAAACGTTTCTGAATACCCTTATTCTGAGGTTCTATCGAACACTCTCGGGATCTGTGAGAGGAGTCACATCTGGGCACTCAGGTGTAGTTGTGGGGAGGTATTGGAAATATCTACAGCTGTGAGCTTGAGCTCCTGGGAGGCCAGATGGCTCATTCCATGCCCCTGGGACTTCCCTGTTCATGGATTCTAGCCCAGAACCCTGTGGGCACTGTGTAGGGTGGGACTGTTATGCATGTCAGATGGTTCTTCCATTAATTCAAGGGCTGTGTCTTCTGTTTTCCTGTGTCTGTTGACTGTCACATAAATGTCTCCTGATCATTTATTCAGTCATTCATTCACAAATATCCATTTGGTACCTACTGTATGCTAGTAGGGCTCCTGCCCTATCCCAGGCCTTCACCACACTATTATCTGTGTCCATTGGTTATGCATATATGAATATTAGTTCTTTGGTTAATCTCTTCCCATCACCCGCCCTCTACTCTGAGATATATCAGCCTGTTCCATGCATGCATGCCTCTGGGCCTATTTTGTTTTCCAGTCAGTTTATTAGGTTCATTTGATTCCACATATAAGTTAGATCATGTGATATTTGTCTTTCTCTGACTGGCTTATTTTACTCAGCATAATATTCTAATATTCTCTAGGTCCATTCATGCTGTCACAAAGGTTAACACATTCTTCATTTTTACAGCTGACTAGTATTCTGTTGACTAGCTGTCTCCTGATCATTTATTCAGTCATTCATTCACAAATATCCATTTGGTACCTACTGTATGCTAGGCAGTGTCCTGCGGTCTGGGAATACAGCAGTGAACAAAATAGACACTTTTTCCTATCCTCATGAAACCTACTTTCCAGTGCTATATACCAAGTTTATCAATATTTAAATCTTTAATGCAGAATGTGATGATGAATGAAACAGCTTTTAACTTAGAATCTGTTTAAAGTTAGTAGTAAACTGTCACCCATCCTCTCATCTGATAAAGTCCAAGGTGTCTCATGCAAGACAAAGCTTAATGCACACTACTGTCAAATCAAATAACTCTGGCCAATTCATACTCTGTAGTGGGCCCAGCCAGCAAATGACTATTTTCACTAATTTCCTGTGAGAAGCAAATGTTTCTCCCAGACTATTTCAGAGGATGTTTCTAGAGCTTCATCTGCCTATGCCTCTGATAAAAGCCTTCTCCAGGGTTCTCATCCTTTATCTGACAACTAACAGAGCATATAGTTTATAGGCAGTAGATTTGGTTAAGAAGAGCAGCCTTGTTGGCATGGAGAGATAATGGCTTTTATTTGTTTGTTTGTTTATTTTATTGTTGACAGTATTACAAATGTCCCTCAATTCCCCCCTTAACCCCCCTCATCCCAGCTCCTGCCCTATCCCAGGCCTTCACCACACTATTATCTGTGCCCATTGGTTATGCATATATGAATATTAGTTCTTTGGTTAATCTCTTCCCATCACCTGCCCTCTACTCTGAGATATATCAGCCTGTTCCTATTCTGTTGTATAAACATACCACATCTTTTTTGTCCATTCATCTGCTGATGGGCACTTGGGCTGTTTCCAGATCTTGGCTATTGTAAAATAACGCTGCTATGAACGTAGGGGTGCATATAGTCTTTCTGATTGGTGTTTAGGGAATCTTAGGAATATATTGTCAGAAGTGGGATTCCTGGGTCAAATGGCAGTTCCATTTTTAATTTTTTGAGGAAATTCCATACTGTTTCCAACAGTGGCTGCACCAGGAAGTGGGATTATGTCTTCTTTGTCATCTTTTCAGCGTTTTATAGTCTGTGCTTGTTGGAGCACACTTCCTTGGATTCTAGGCATTTCTCTCTCCTATCCTTTCTCAGGCTAATGATGCCTTTGTGGTTGTCATTGATGTCTGTGTTGAGATTGAAACTCTGAGTTAATTGGTTATCCATGGAAAACACAGTAAAAAAATTAACCTGGGGTTTGACTATAGTTAAAAGGGTGAAATAAAAAAAAGGCATTATAAAATAGAGCAGAAGAAAGGATCACAGGGGGCGTACAATGTTAAGTCATGGAGGGAGGTAAAGATGGGTGATCAAATTTAAAACTAGGTCAGAGAGAATAATTCTGTCACTTCTCCCACAGTTTTATTTTGTGAAATTGTATAAAAACATTGCAGATGTGTTAAAATGTCAAAATCTATAAGTTCTAGACCTTTTCAGACTGTAGTTCTGGGAAATAAATAGTTCCCTTATTAAAATATAATTTGACTCTTTTTTTTCTATTTCTCTCATAGATGGCTGGCATGGAAGTTGGAAAAAAGATTTTTGCTATTAACGGTGACCTAGTTTTTATGAGACCTTTCAATGAAGTGGATTGCTTCCTGAAATCCTGCTTAAACAGCAGAAAACCTCTAAGAGTTCTTGTGAGCACAAAGCCGAGGGAGTAAGTTGTATGATTTGTGTGGGATTTTAAAAAAAATTATGCATAGATGAATAAAACAGAAGAATTAACTAAGCAAATGTCTAGAATTAAGCTTCTCATTGCTTTGAATATTGAAACCACCAAACATCACTAAGATTGGTCTTTAAATGATGGGAAAAACTACATTGCTTATAATGACAAAATGCTTGCTACTTGAATCATGTAGTTTCAGCAGAAATAATAATTTCCTTTTAATGTCTAAATTTTCCTGGTCTAGTTTGGGTTGAGTCTGACTATGAGTGAAGAAAAACTAATAGAACACTTGATAATAAAGAATTGCATTCCTCTATGTTCAGCCCTAAGAATTTCAGGGGCTATAAGTTAACTCGAAACCGTTTATAATCAAACACTGTTAGGGTATGAGATCAAAACTAAGAGAAAGACAATCCTATGCTGGTGTGTACTTAGAAATAGGTTCTATCTATTTGCCTATGATTAGAAAAAGCTCATGTTTATCATAAGAAATTTAGAATACAGACTTTCCAAAGGATTTTTCTTATAATCATACCACCCATAAATAACCATAATTATTTTTTTGAAATTCAGTGTTAGTTGAATTTTACAAGTCTTGACAGATATACATAATCACATATTTATAAAATGAGATATGCTTTATGATCTGTTTTGGTTTGTTTCTTTTACAAAAATTAACAAGATATGATGGATATAGTTGGAAGACATTGGCTTTTCTTCTCTAAATCATTGATGATCTTGCTTTCCCTTACCAGGTTTTCGCTTGTTTATCCAATGAGGTAACAGAAATAATGCATATAAAGTGCTTACCACAATGTGTTAGTGTACATACTACGATTTTGTCAAAATTACTGTTTAATACTTATGATGCTATTTATCAATAGTGATAGGCAACTTCATGAATTTTAAGATAAATGAAGGTTACCACTTCAAAAACAAAATGATTTACTTTAACTACTTATAGAAATATTCTAAATATATATAATGGAGTGTTCTTTCCTGCCTTAATATATATTCAGCAAAGTTGGGTGCACTATTTATCTTAAGAGTTGTAGTGCAGTGTAATAGGCTGCATTCTGTAGTGCTAAGTCATCTAGGTAGATGTTTCTACCAACAGCTTACTAAGGGGTCCGAAAGAGTGGGCCTCATTAAAGTTACTAATTTAGAGGGACTTTGTGCTAGAGAGCAGCAGATAACCATAACAATGTCATCTTTCTCTAAAACTAGTTAGGGTCTAGTGCTCCCCCTTTATCCAACCCACCTAGGATAAGGTTAACTTAGTTGCCTACCTGTGGGCATTTTGAGGACATGTAACAGGAAAGGAATAAGGGAGTAGCATTCCTAAGCTTTACTCATGGGCCCTTGATCCCTAATTTAACCCTACAAATACTGGTCCATTGATCACAAACATTTCAACAGATAGAGGTTTCTGGAGTCACCAGCTTGAAAACTAAATAGATAGGGCAAATCCCCAGTCCTAGAAGTTGTTGCTAGGTGAGCAGGGCTGGAACGTGGATCTTCTGATTCTTCCCTCGGTGTTTATTGCACAGCAATTGGAACCCTGATATTTCTGGTCCAGGATCAAGCCTCTCATCCACCACTTGTTTGCTAATTGTGTTGCTTCAACATCCTCATCCATAAAAAAGTGGGGATGATAAGAGTGACTATATTACGGAGCTGCTAAGAACACTTAAATAAATCTAGGTTTGTAAGAACTTAGTGACATGTTCAGCCCGTAATATATTCTCCAGTGTTATGATCTGAGATGCTTTTTTCTCCCATTTCATTTTTGCATTGCTTCTTTATTACATCAAGGCATATTTTGCATTGTATTTTAAAACTGTTTTGAGGATAGAGTACTCATTTTTTCTTTTTTAATTTGTTCAAAATTTATAACCGTTCCTTTATGTCCTTATTCTAATGTATGACTCCTATAAATCACTCTCATATTTTTTTTGCAATAACTACTTACAATTTATGAAGTATCCTGTTTGGGGAAAAAAGCAAAAATGTGAGAGGTAAATACAACAGAATTTTTCTTTTGAGTCTAGGTGCATTTTACAAAAGATAACACAAGGAATTTTCCAGCATGCTTTGTAGAAGATAATTTAGGCACTTGTTTTCTACAGGAAATAGAGCATCCTTCTTGTATAAATTCAATTCTTCCTTTAATAGGCAACATAGTGTTTCTACCAGTAAACATTTTCCAAAGATCATTTTATGAAGGGGGTCCCCAAATTATGACCAAATGCATCTTATAGTGTTTTGTACAAATTTTGTTAAGAAAAGTATAATAATCTTCTAGAAGATTAGAGTTGGGTCAGCCTTCCATAGCCATATTAGAAGGATAGAAGACCTTGCTTAGGAAGGATTGAGAGGCCACCAAGAATTCTGCACCATCCTAAAGAACAATAATTCATCATGGCCTGAAAGCTCTAAGTTATTTCAGACAAAGTGAGCTCTCATTGGTAATATATAGAAGTATGAGTTACCTCTGTTTTTTATTTCATGCTCAGAAAATGTATTTATTCCCTTTTTCCCCTCCCAGTTATTTTCTATTTTTAAGTTTATATTCGATAGACTCTAGTGACAAGTTTTTGTTGAAAGAAAGCAGATACAGTTTTGTAAACCCCAAAATTATCTAATTAAGGATAAAAGATAAATTCATTCTTTGACCTCCATCCCACCAGTATGCAGATCACTTCCTATTGTATAACCTAATGTATGATAATCCTTTCAGATTCGCTGGAACAGGCAATGTACATTTCTGTCGCCGAAGGTCTGAATGCCTGCCTGGGTTATATTTTAGGTGGCAGTGCCAGCCCCTTGCCTTCAGGTCTAAATGCACTCTCTGGCTTTCCCAAGTGTTCTAGGCACCATGGTGCTCCAACTGCTCCAACAGCTATTTCATAAATTACAAATAAGACCTGAGACTGTTTAATGTGCCCTTGAAGTACTGCTGCATTTATTTCATGATTCATTCAGCAGCTTTTGGCAAACACTTGTTTCTTGAGCATCAAGGGCTATCCATCAAAATTTATTGCATCGTATTCATTTGTCTGTGCGCTCTGCCGCAATTCATTATACTCGTTTTTATTATGAGGTTCCATCTTATCTCCTGCTCTCTGCTTTTCATCGTCGCTGTCTGATTTCTGGCTTCCTTCTAAGGAGTAGCTGATCTGTTAGATCGGACATCCCTCCCTGGTTTGCCATGTCAGCTTACTTGAGTTTATTTTCCACCCTTCATCTTCTTTTCCGTGTGGATTCATTGAAAATTCCTTTTTACTTAAGCAGGTTTACCTTTTGTTGTATTATTCTTTTAAAATCCCACTGAATAAATAGTAACGTTAATCATATTCTTAACTTGCTTTGATGTCGTGTTCGATGCATCTGTTCTTTATAACTGGCTCTTTGTTGTTTTTTTGATGGAGTTCCTAACAGGCAAAAATGTATTAACTCTGTTTCTTTTATGTTAATGTTAGCAAAGAAATTTCACAGTGTGCACCAGTGTCTTCTTTGTAATAGTAAACAAAGGGGAAAGCTTCCATTTTGTTAAATACCTACCTAGCTCATGGCACAATGCAGGGCAATGGGCCAATGATACCTCTTTTCATCTCCACCGACACATTGCAAAGCAAGTTTTTAACACCATCATCTTTCTGGAAACTCAGACTCAGAGAAGTTAAGGAGTTCGTTCAAGTTATCCAACTGTCAAGTGACTAAAAGTGGATTCCGAGCGAGGAGGGTCTGAGGCCAGAGCCTGCCCTTACTCAGGTTGTTCTTGCAGTGGCTGTGTCAAGTGAGAAATCTGCTGTGTGTGCCTGCTCCGTGCCTTTCTGAGGGCATGCACCGTGATGTTTCCCTCGAGGGTTTGGAACCCAGTGTTTTTCACAGGGTCGACCCTCAATATGAATTTATGTAAAGAATAAATAAAAGTTTGGACAACTATTGTTTTAACCAATTGTGGTGTTTTAAAGTCGTCTTACCCTATTTTCGGATTGATTTTAGGACAGTGAAAATCCCAGATTCAGCCGACGGACTTGGATTCCAGATCCGGGGGTATGGCCCATCAGTGGTGCATGCGGTGGGAAGAGGTGAGAGAGCTACTCTGCGTGGTGAACAGCTTTCCAGCATGTTTGCCATTCTTCGCTAAGCAAGAATATGTTTATAATGCACATAATCGTGTTATGAATTTTCTCATCACATTTTACTGTATTAACTCAGTAGTAGTATATTCTTAAAATGATATTTTTAAAAAACATTTAAAAATTGTAGGGCATATGTATCTCTGTTAAAAAGTTAATAACGAATGAGGCCTTTTAAAATCAATTTTCTGCATGCTTCAGTTTAGCCGGAGGATATAATGATTTTACGGCATCTGTTTGTCTTTTTTGGTGACAGTAAGTAATTACCTTTTTGTCATTAATTCAAAGATGTGAGTTTTCAGGTTTAAAAATGATCTGTGTGTTTTATAGCCTGTTGCCACATGATTACTTCAAGAATTCCTATAAGCCATGCATTTTATAGCTTAATAAAATGGCTAATGGCCATGCATTTTATTAAACTATAAAATGCACTTTAAATTAAATGATTTTAGTGACTAAAAACTTGGTTTATATTTTATGCTCTTTTTGCTTGTTCTCCATAAACAATCATGTTGATCCTCTTTGCCAGGGATTTCTGCATTTCTGTCTCCAGCCCAGATCTCTTTCCTGTGTACTGTCACCCAGATCCAATTGTTTATTATATACATAATGGCCTTCGGACACCTTAAAACTCAGCATTCTCCCCAAAAGAACTTATTCATTCTCTAAAGCTGCTTTACCTTCATATTCTCTCTTTATTTAAGTGACTCCATCTCTCAGCCACTGAGTCCAAAGGTACAAGAGTGATCTTGGGTACTGTAGTTTCTCCACAAACTCCATCATCACACATCAAATACGTGACCTCATTCTCCCCTCTATGACTAATGCTACCTTAGTTCCAGCCTGGAAAATTGAAGCAGATGCTGTGATTTTGATTTTTGACTTAAATTCTAATAACCCATGGTCCATTGGGGGCGGGGGGGGGGAATCATGTCACTTCTGTGCTTAAAATTCTTAAATGTTTTTCTCTTCCATATATAGTAAGGTTCAGACTTAGGACTTCATGCAAAGCACCAAGAACTTCCCAACCGGGCTCTGCTCTGCTCTCTAGGACCCTTTCTGTTCTAAGTTCACACTCCCAACTGCTAATATGTTCCTGAATGTCCAGGTTATTTCTTTTTAAAAATATATATTTTATTGATTTTTTTTACAGAGAGGAAGGGAGAGGGATAGAGAGTTAGAAACATTGATGAGAGAGAAACATTGATCAGCTGCCTCCTGCACACTCCTTATTGGGAGTGTGCCTGCAACCAAGGTACATGCCTTTGATCGGAATCGAACCTGGGACCCTTGAGTCCACAGGCCGATGCTCTATCCACTGAGCCAAACCAGTTAGGTCTCTAGGTTATTTCTTGACACAGTACCTATTTTCAGGCTGTTCTTTCTGTTGGGAATATCCCTCACTCCAGCAAGAATCAGTTCAATCCAGAAAAAGCACTTAAAATTTCTGGGAGTGAATTTTAGTGAGGACAATTCTTGAATATAAATTATGTTCTTCAGGACTTTTATTAATTCTTTCATGAGGGAAATTGCTTATAAAGAAAGGCTCTTCTAACATACTTATAATAAGCTTTGTAGTTATTTATCTTAGTTATATTCATTGCTTTGTTAATGTTGCTTTGAATATCGAATAATAATGACTGGAAGGTTCTGAAAATCTTAACTCACTGGTTAGGATATGCCACTTCCATACTTAAATCTGTGTCTATGCAAATAAGTGATGGGCAGTTGATGTTATCTGATTAATTTTATTCTTCAGTTCTCTGGTTCTGAACTTATTTTTCTTAGCACATCCAGTCCACTTATAATTGCTAATTGATTTGATTTGATTCCTCAAGAATTTCTTTTAATTGTTGGCATTTTAAAAATGAAAGTGAATTCTATTTTAATTTTTAGATATTTTTGTAAACAAAAGAAAGATAAATAAGGCATGATACTGGCTTTCTCATTTTGCTGTTATACATGCATATTCAGAAAACTAGATTGACTCGACATTTTAAAGGGAAAATAACTGATTAGCATTAAAAAACTTACTTTGCAATATCCCTTCAAACTAATTCATAGGGCAGTAGGAAAATACTCTGTTACAGTTTGAATGTCCTGTAAATAGCAGAAACCTGTTGATAGCAGGGCATTGCTGTCAGAACCAAATGATCAAAAACACACTAGCTAGATGTTTATTATGTATATTTTTCATTGCTTTCCTTATTGCATATGTGATAAAAAACAAATCTAAAATGACTTTTCGGGCAATTTTCCATTTGTGCTTAAAGGAACGGTGGCCGCAGCAGCCGGCCTTCACCCTGGACAGTGTATCATCAAAGTCAATGGGATCAATGTCAGCAAAGAGACACATGCCAGCGTCATTGCACACGTCACGGCCTGCAGGAAGTACAGGAGACCAACCAAGGTACGCCGCCTCTCAGCTTATCTAGATCTAATGGAGACCGTGCACAGAAACCCCAGGGACAACACAGGAAGTGCCAGAGATGTTTGTGGTTTCTACCTCTGGGTTCACATTTAAGCACAGCATTGTAAATCTCATCATGATTGCTTTGTCAAAATAATGAGTGATGATCGATTGTGCTTAAACGTTACATTTCATTGTTGCGGTATTATCACCTGTTTTAAAAATGCCCTGAGATTTGAGTTTTTAAATTTATCAAATTGAGATCCAAAGGTTTAAACTGTTTTCCTGACCGTTGTGTTTGCTTGAGAATATAGGATGGTCGTTCTGTGTCTGTAGATATGAATTATAAATGCTTGCAATGTTTACTATTAGAATTTTGTGAGAAGCAAAAACTTGTGGGTATTATGGGGTCTGCAGTTCATTTTTGGATATATTAGTTTAGCCAATTGAATTTAGCTCAGAAAAGAAAGTACTTGTCATTACTTAAAATTGTCAGCACTATCCTCTGGTCCAAATTTCAAGTGTCATAGAAAAAATAAAATTACAATCCTAATTTGTAAGCGAAGCTTATTATCTCATGAGGTATAAGAGCATATTGGACTAAAAGAGAAAATTCAGTTTAATCCACTAAATGCAAAAGAATTTTAAATGCAAAAAATCTTCAGACGAGAGGCTGTGCATTTTTTTCTGTCATGTACACTGAAGTACTGTTTTCTGGATTGGGGAATAAAACTTTGAGTCCAAATCAGAAGGATAAATGGCTATTTTGTCATAGTTCAGGCCCAACACCCTGCAAAATACTGCACATACAAGAAAATAGCTCATCAATTTTACTTACCAATAGGTCACATTAGCATAGCAAATTAGAATTCACACATTGATGCATAGGTTATTCTTGTTGATAGTTCAAATATTTATTGAACTGTATTATTGAATGAATTTTTTTAAAGGACATTTCTGAAATTATAAAATCTTTCCCCTTCTATCAGAATTTTACTAAGTAGCTAAGTTGATTTTAGTTTTACTCCTTTTTATTTTCCCAGCCTGCCTTCTTGGAGAGGTATTGTTGATCAATAAAATGATTGAGAAAAATAATAAATGGACAGAAAAATTTACAAAATGAATAACATCAGGTATTCATTGCCACAAAACAGACCGTCTCACCACTCGGTGGATTAAACAGTAGTGATTGATTATTTCTCTTGATTCTGCGCATTGATTGGGTGTCAGTGCCTGTGAGGGAACTGGCACGTCTGCATTATGCTGGGACTGACTGGGCACTGCAGTTCCGCTGCTGCTAATCTCTCTCCAGACTCTTCCACATGGCCTCCTTTCCAGTCTATAGCAGGATTTCCCTTCTTCATGGTGTCTGGATTTCAAGAGGGGATATTACTATCGATCAACTCTCTATTTACATCATGCTTGCTCTGTCCCTTTGGGAAAATCAGGTCACATGATCACACCCAGAGTCAGTGTGGGAGGAGTCACATAAAGGTGTAGATTCTTGGGGATGTGGGTCATTGGAGGCCACAACAGGTTACCAAGATGAATTTGAATGATCACATGTTAGCATTTTAATGATGCATAACATATCATAATTGCACATAATTGTGAAGTTAATAAACAAGAGAAAAATGGGTAATACAGATTGTATCACACTTCAGTAGTGCAATTCAATTTATCATCTTACCTAGGAAAAGTATAAACTTAGAGTAATGCATCCCTGAACGCATTTACTTGGTAGCCACTTTCTCTCTCTCTCATTTATCTAAATAAGATCGGAACTGCTATTTCAATTAAGATATAGGATGATTTATGACATAGGAGGATTAAAAGATAGTTACATTACTTAAGAACCTAATGAGATGAAAGATGGTCTTCCAATTTTTTTATTGGTGTGATTCAAAAAACATTAAGTATATTAAAATATATATAATTGTTAGGAAAGCACTTAAAGGGAGACACTAAAAGGGTGTCGATGCTTGATCCTTTGGAAAACTGTTCATCTAACATTTATTTATTAAAACATGTAATTTATAGTTCATTTTAAGATGTAATTGAGGCATTTAAGTGAGACATTTGGGGAGTATAGCTTGCTCAAAAACATACTTTTGGGAGATAAAATTTCAAGCTTTGAAAGGTCAGCTGTTAAACAACGATAGTTGGCTCTGACATTCTATTAGTTTCTGATGTTCATTTTCTTTCTCAAAATTTATTATTTTTAAACAAACTGGAAGGAAAAATAAGCTTGTCAGCTCTCCTTCTGAAGCAGGTTTATGAAACGGATGTGCATGCTTAGGAAGCACTAATGCTGCTGAGGCTTTTCCCTTCCTCATTTCCAGCAAGATTCCATACAGTGGGTTTATAACAGCCTCGAGAGCGCCCAGGAAGACCTTCAGAAGTCTAACCCCAAACCCCCGGGAGATGAAGCAGGGGATTCTTTTGATTGCAAAGTAGAAGGTGGGTTCCTTCTTTTCTCACTATTTGTTCATAGTATTCTCTTTCAATGTGCTAATTATTGAAAATCTGATACGTTCAAGCCACTTATATTTTTCTTTGGGGAATGTACAGCTGTTTTAAATTACAGTTGACATATAACAGTGCATGAGTTTAAGATGTCCACATAGTTACTTGATATTTATATATCTGATGAAGTGATCATCTTGAGAAGTCTAGGAGCCATCTATCACTATATGAAGTTATTATATTATTGACTATATTCTTTATGCTGTACATTATATCTCTGTGACTAATTTATGTTATAACTATAAATTTGTACCTCTTAATCCCCTTCACCTTTTTGCCCATTCCCCATTCAAGCCACTTTCTTAAGTTATTGTTACTAATAGATGTCATGTCAAATGCATAAGTAATAATAGCTTCTGGCTCAGTGGTTCTCAACCTTCCTATTGCCGCGACCCTTTAATACAGTTCCTCATGTTTCATTTGTAACAATGAAACTGAACATAATTAAAGCATAGTGATTAATCACAAAAACAATATGTAATTATATACGTGTTTTCCGATGGTCTTAGGCAACCCCTGTGAAAGGGTCGGTCGATCCCCAAAGGGGTTGCGACCCACAGGTTGAGAACCGCTGTTCTAGCTAATATGGAATAGCTACTACACTTTGGTAGTCACTTTATTAAGTCTTTTACATAAATTATCTCATAAAGTCATCAAACGAGAAGATCTCATAAGGTGTGATTATCACCATCCTCATTTTATAGGAGAAGAAATGGAGGCTAAGGGAGTTGCCCAAGTTAGTATGTGGTAGAATGAGGATTCAAATCTCAGTTAGAATGTGTTTTCTTGTTTTGAGTTTAGATGTTGTTTAGACCTTACCACTCTAATGTGGTTTGCAGACCAGTAGCAGCAGAACCTGGAGCAAGAGAGAGTCCCAGAATCTCAGCCAACCCTAGATCTACTGACTCAGAACCTCCAAGTTAAGAAATCTGATCTGCATGCACACTTATATCCCAGAAGCCCTGGTTTAGAAGGTCCATAGTTCTTTTGAAAATAATTTCTTGATTCAAGTAACTTTTACTGTATTGAAGCACTGATAGTAATGAAAGAAGCAAGCTACTGCGCAAACGAGAGAAAGAGAGACCTTTTGACAAGGACTCCTGTCATCTCTTTTCTCGGTGAAGCAAGCCAGCAGATTGCTATATTCAGTAGCTTCTTTGCTAAGGGCAAAAGGGCTGAGGCCATTGACAAAAGCTTTGAATTGTTCTTTCAAAGGTTTTTCACAGAAGTCCTTGCATCCTCTCTTCCATTTTCCTGGCATCTTTCCACTCATATATTTGGTGGGTGTCCCTAAATTTTTACTGTAGTTTTAGTTTCTTGCAAACCAGCACAGGTGGAGAATTCCCTATACACACTGCTTGTATGGGGGAACTTAGGAAACGCTGTTTCTCCCCACTCCTGGAAGGCCATTGGTAGGAGCCACTCATTTCATGGGCAGTATTAGAAATGCTCACCTCACTGGCGCAGCAAGACTGTTGTGATAAATCAATTCTCTTATTGTTTTAAATGAAGATGAATCTCAGGACTTCATTCTGAAGCTTTTTTTTTCTCATTTAGAGTTAGTTGCTGCTAATCATCATTCTGTCTCAGTGAAAGGTAGAGAGGGTTGATAAGATGCTCTGGAAACCTATTTCTAGCTACGCTGGGATTTAATTATTTTTGCTATTTCCACTATTTCTAGAATTATTTTAAATAAACTCATATTCTATTTTGCTTACTTAATATTTACTGTTAGGTTTCTCAGTGTTTCTTACTTGAGATTTTAGGTGTTTTTGTTGTTGTTGTTTTATCAGCTGACTGATTTTAGTTCAAAACCTATAAGAAGATGTTCCAAATGGAATGTTAGTATAGTGAATGATGAGAAGTTTTCTCAATGGTTCTCTGGAAAAAATGCTGTTTGGGAGAATTCAGACACATTCTCTGCTGAAAAAAATGATTCCTGCATCTCCTTTCTGCTTCGTCAATATGGCCTTATGTATTTTTTTCTGCTTTCAGAAAATATTCATCCAATGTTTAAGGCAGTTTCAAGAATGCTGACTTTAATTCATGCATGCTTTTAATGAGAAAATATAAAATTGTGTGTATAACGTTTGTCGTGGTGTAAATAGGCGTACATGTGGTCCATAGATCAAAATGGGTATGTAAAGATAGAGTAGTGAGATTTGGATAACTCAAGCATATTTCTAAAAAAAATGTTCTTCTTTTTTAAAAAATGTTAACAAGGGTATGTATATACTTCATTAGCACATTAAACTTAGCCATCCTTTAAAGAACTCCTTAAAAATTATTCAAATTATTTGAAAAGTCTAACAGACCCTTCATGAATTTGCTGAATTAAAATTGTCTTTATTCCAGAGGTAATTGACAAGTTCAACACCATGGCCATCATCGATGGGAAGAAGGAGCACGTGAGTCTGACGGTGGATAACGTGCACCTGGAATACGGGGTCGTGTATGAGTATGACAGCACCGCTGGGATCAAGTGCAATGTGGTGGAGAAGATGATCGAGCCCAAAGGTTTCTTCAGCCTCACTGCCAAGGTGAGGGCCATCCTGGGAACAAGGGACCGGACCTTAAATAAAGCAACTGAAACGCTCCCCCACCCCCATCTTAAAACGTGTGAAGAGCTGTATGCGTTTCATTTCAGCTGTCAGCTCATTCAACTTCTGCTCCTCCCCACCCCCCATTACTCAGTATGTGTACAGCCTTTCTTTTTATTGACACTTGTTGGAGCACAGTGGGAAGTTAGATGGGACTCGAGCCCAGGGGAGTGTTAGTTGCTTTGGCAGTCTTCTCTACATTTTATAAGTTCGCTGTGTTCGTTAATTCGGTATCATGTGTACGTTTTAGATGATTTTCACGCCAGGTGGTGCTTTTTTTAAATGCACATAATTCTCGGAGGAGTATTTGGAGTCATGAAATAGATTATACGAAATTTCAAATCCTGCAAGTCTCAACCTTATTTCATAAAATTTCACAAAGCTTAGCGATGATTTACGAATAGATCCTCAGACATTTATATAATTCTTGGTAGTGAGGGATATTATCCGTAGTCCTTAGCCTGCAGCAAGACAGGGAGGAAGCAAGTCTTCATCCTAATGGATAAAACATGTAGGAAGTGAGAGGTGATCCTGTGCTTGCTTTTCATGATCCTCTACAAGGGAGATCTCTCAAACTCCTATGGGACTCTCCGCAGGTTAGAACTTTAGTATTTTGTCTGCTTTTATATCACCCCGTGAGGATTCAGGCATTACAAGTAAGTAATATGACAAATAGCTTCACTGCCTTTATTTCGTCATCTCAATTCTTGTTTCACCTATGTGTAATCAAGATAGACTTAAAATATTTATAGCATGTGTTTTTTTAATCCTTCACTCAAGGATATGTTTTTATTGCTTTTGAGAGAGAGAGAAAGGGAGAAAAGAAGAGAGAGAGAGAGAGTGAGAGAGAGAGAGAGAGAATAACATTGATTGGTTGCCTCCTGTACAAGCCCCAACTGGGGATCAAACCCACAACCTAGGTATGTGCCTTACCATTTGTTGTACAGGATGACACTTCTACCAGCTGAGTCACCCGGCCAGGGCTATAGCATATATTTTTTAAAATTTTAGAGAAAACAATTATAGAAATATAAATGCACTATTTTAAAAATAATTATGTTTCTGTTTTATATTCTGAAAGTCAACTTTTTAAAAAATGCCATTATTCTGATGACATTTACCACTTTATATATCTATTGATATAAAAGGTTTGGAAATCGCTGGTTTAAGATAATAGACTCCTATAATCTATAACTGGCAACTAAAATACACATTCCCTACTGCATTATACTATTAAAGAGGATCCATGCAAGAGTTTGTGATCAAGTTATTATAATTACTTTATCTCATTTTCTATTTCAAATTTGCAAAATTACATGGGTTATTTTATATATGAAAGCTGTGTAAGTTAGTACACTTACATATTTCTCCTGCACACAAGAAGAAAAGAAAATTAAAGGTAGTAAAAACCCCTCAAATTTCTAGATTAGTAACTCATATTCCATAATAATTAGGGGAATAAATAAATAACTCACACTGTATATTCTGTAAGAAAGGGAAGTGGAGGTGGTGAGACAGTTCAGATAAGTGTACCATGTATACATTTCTCACAAATTCTTTAAAAATGTTAGGTAAGGGTATAATCAGTCCTGTGATCGTTAAACAATAAAAAATGCTACATATAAATATGACAATTCTCAATTCATATGGAAATTCTCAGTGATCTAGGGTGTGTATGTATTTGTGTGAACATGTGTGTGTGCATACACACACACACACACACACACTCACAGACAC